TATGAGCTCCCTTTTTCACTGCCACACTTACAGGCACTTCCCCCATTGCTCTGCAGAGCTCTCCAGTCCAAGAAGCAAATCTCGCGGTCATAGCAGACTGTGACATAAGGGAAGTCCAGTGCAAATGATCATATCTGTTCCATTGAGCAAGAAAGAGTCCTTCCATTCAGAGAGACAGTTTCTGAATCTAGCCTCATGAATATATTGAAATAGTAAGGTCATTAGATGGATTTCCCTTCAATTACACTGTAAAAAGAAATATATGCAAAAAATGTACAGGAAATTGCCTGCCAAGAATAAGAGTAGGTAAAGCGTCATTGATTTGGAACTAGCCTATGCAAAGCAGAACTGCAATTATGATTTGATTTTGAGAAAAATCAAGCAAAGAAGGATCAATCAGTTTACAATTCATTTGAAAGAATTAGATTAATGGAACTAGTAAAGAATGTACAACTCTATGCATGTAAAAATTAATAAAAAATAATAAATATTCTAATAATGCTTGCTGGGATTGTCAAGAATTGATCATTCATAATATTTTTGGGGGTAAACAAAAAAAACCTACTAATGTACCTAAAGCATAATGTATTTAGAATTTTTTTTTTTTTATCAGAATCATAATTAGGTTAAGAACACATAAACTGGAAATGCACATTGCTATTTTCCAGAACTACAACAGAAAAGGTTTAATGGGGAGGAATGCTTTATAATGTTAATTTGCAAATATTTATTTAAAAATAGTCTTCTAAAGAGAATCTGCCCGTCATACTCATAACACAAAGTTCTTTTTAGCAACCATTTATTAAAATATGAAACTTGATAAGTTTCTTGTAAATTCTACCAGATCCAGCAATGCACTTCTTCCCACCTGGATTTTAAACTACTGGAGCTTGCTCAGTACACATGATGTGCTTGTTTCATTTTATAATCTAGCATGGCCTTGAAAAAGTAAAGAGTAAAGTAATTGAAATGGAAATTCACGCAATTTGTTGTGTTACATTCTTTATCTCTACTATTCCCTCTCAGTTAGAGATCCTTGTCTTGTCTAGACAAGATTCTTCCAGCACAAAGCTGTGCACAACTCTGGTTCTCTAATGCAGTGTTTCTCAACCTTGATAGCTTTATGATGTGCAGACTTCAACTCCCAGAATTCCCCAGCCAGTTGAAGCCTGCACATCATAAAGTTGCCAAGGTTGAGAATAGCAATAGCACTTAGACTTATATACTGCTTCACAATGCTTTACAGCCCTCTCTAAGTGGTTTACAGAGTCAGCATATTGCCTCCAACAATCTGGGTCCTCATTTTACCAACCTCAGAAGGATGGAAGGCTGAGTCAACCTTGAGCCGGTAAGAATCGAACTGCTGAATTGCAGGCAGCCAGCAGGCAGCAGAAGTAGCCTGCAGTACTGCATTCTAACCACTATGCCACCACGGCACCACCATGTCAACACTGCTCTAATGCAGGGGTCTTCAAACTTGGCCCTTTTATGACTTGTGGACTTCAACTGCCAGAATTCCTCAGCCAAGCACCCTGGCTGAGGAATTCTGGCAGTTGAAGTCCACAAGTCATAAAAGGGCCAAGTTTGAAGACCCCTGCTCTAATGTGAACCAGGCCTTTTCTAGGCCAGCAGAACACATGGAACAGGACACCCATCTTCATCCCAATGAGGAATGGGATCTAAAGCAGCACAGAGTCTGAAATGTCTCCTTTGCTGTTCACCAATATGGAAAATGTACAATCAGTCTTTCACATGACTGTTTTGGACCACTTTTGGAATGATGCCTCTGGCAAAAGAAACAAGGACCACTCAAAGATCTATTAAACTGTTGTGGCATTTGATTCACCCTGGAACAATAAGTGATTCAGGTGTAGCAGCAAGATATAAAGAAGCTAAAAGACAGAAGAAGACAAGAAGTACATGCTCTTTAGGTATTTTTCATGATCCCTTCAATGAAAAACAATATTGAGGAGATTTCTAAGCACAGTCCAGAAACTGTTCCACGGGAGCTATCTAAAATTAACTATAAAATACTTTGACGGTACATCCTTAAGATCACTTAACACATTTTACCCTTTAACACATTGTGATAATCTATAATCAAGCTGGTTAAAAACTGTTTTTTTTACATATTCATTGCCTGTTCAAATATAGCATGCTGATTATTACAGTATAATTCTGTTTTAGGTGATGCAAAAGACAGAAGCAGAGGAGGGCAGTAAGATTAATTAATCTGGAATAAAACTGTGTGATCTTGTGATATGCCCTAGGACAGGATTTGACTTCATGTTAATACCACCTAAAAGAAGACAATTATTTCTTCTTTCTCCTCCTCCTCCTCCTCCTCCTCCTCCTCCTCCTCNTCTTCTTCTTCGTCTTTCTTTTGGATAATTTGAAAAAAAACCTTCTTGATTAGAAAAAATATTCAAGAGGCCCTGTTTGTTTCTATGTACCATAAAATGATGTTAATGGTAGAATATTCACATTCTCATTCATAGACACAAGGAAATTTTCTTCAGGATGGTTTTTAGACCTTAAAAAAAGTTAGTATGATTTTCTTGAAGACTAGCAATGCATCTATACTCATTCTCATAGAATTAAATCCAACTGAGTTCCAGAAGGGAATTTCGAGGTGTATAAATACACAGAAACACAGCTTAAGACAGACTTCTCTTCAAACTTGTTGGCATTTCTTGGAATTGCTATGTATTATTGTTTTGCTCAGTATTAGCTATCTAATCAATCATAGCCATCAACATTATTCTGTATATGAAATATCCTCTTGGTATAAATAGCATTAAAATAAATTGTCAGAAAAAAGTTTTCAGTTTTAATCAGAATACACCTTTTTTAACTCAGCTCCTAAGCTGTGTTTTTCACAAAGTTTTCTAAAAAATATATTAAAAGTCGCCATCCTCATTTCAGTTCATGTGGAAAGTGCATGCTGTAACTAAAGCTGGGTTACACCCTCTTTTATCTACCATGGAAGCAGTTTGTCCCTTTGGGTGCTTTCACAGAACCAGTAAACTAAAATCTGTTTTAAGGTTACTACATTTTTTTCTAAATAATAGAATAATCTCTTTGATTCAGAAGTTACACCTGGAGGAGAAGGAGAGAATCTCCCTTATCTTTTACAAGGATTGCTTGAGGTGTTTCCTTAAGTTGCAGGCTTCCAGGGCATAATTTCTTTACACATCATCTGATTTCTTCTTTCTTGCAGTGTTGTAAGTAACAGCTGGATCACAATGAACTTCCTTCATAGATGTAGGAATGTTTATATTCAAACTGCCAAAGACTAAAAGCTTTTCACTTTCACTGACTGGTCACAATCTACATTGTTGTCGTATCCTTATTACTTTTCTCTAATTGTTTCTTGATAATGCACCTTTTCAACCTTGTGCATACATATGCAAAGGGCACTAAAATATTTGCCATTATAAATTCATGGCAAAATTATGTTAAGAAAGTGTGCTTTGTGAATACATGTAGGAATTCATTTCCTTAGAGAATTTTACTTAGAATTAAACATAGCCATTCAATAATTTAAAAAAAAAACCAAAACTCTAAAAATTTGCTGTCTTCCAACCAGCTATTCCAATTTAATTCCATTAGCTTTAAACTAGATTTATTTGAAAATAAGTGTTTTCAGCATTGCAGCTTAACTGAAATAAGTAGAAAATGTTAGTCTTTTCTCTAAATTCAAATGTATCCAACATAAAATGTAGCTCTTATTTATCTGTTTTCTCCTTATTAAATATTTCTTTATATAATATTTCATTGTAATTTGGAAAATTATTATTATTGTTGTTGTTATTATAGCTTTCATACGTAAGTCTGATGTTCTAGAAAACTGTTAACTTTTCAACTAGATTCCAGAATAAGTTGTAAAATCTATAAAAATTACTTTTGAATGCTCATTTTCAACAGGCAAATGTTACTGGCAAAAGACTTATTTGTGTGTGTGTGTGTAAAAAAAAATAGTTAAACCCTAACAAGGAACAAAATTTGCCACACCACACTATTAGGTTAAAAATAAAATAGTATAATAAAGGAAATACAAAGGCTTTGGCATGGTTTTTACAATCAACAATGGTTAATTTTGATATGTCGTTGTGAACAACTTCAAAACACTTAAGTTTAAAACTCTTGCAAGCACTTTTAATTGATTAGGAATGACTTCTAGATGCACAAAATAATTGGACTGTGAACAGTAGTACAACTATAGCTAAGAACAATTAACTTTTGCTGACCAAAAAAGAAATGTTTGATGCATGAAAATGTGTGTAAAACATCTATAGAATATTCTTGTTGAATATAAATGAAATTAACTTTATTATAGAAATCATTCTGGGAGATTTCTAGGGAAGACAAATACTTACATTTTGACATAAAACAAATTGGATTATATCAGAGACACAATCTACCCTTTTCCTATCAAACTTTTCTTCTTTGAAGTTAACCCTATGTTTGCAAATAAGCATCATCTGTTTATAACCTTTGGAAATTTCAACAGATATTTTCCTTACAGAAATATACTCTGAATTGTTCCTGGTTGAATTATATGCAGTGAAATAATATAGACTTGGAGCATAGTCTGGAACCTATGAACAAATTGGTAGAAATATTCAATATAGTTTGATAAAACTCTTAATTCATGGCAAAGGTTGTTGATCATGGCTTCCTTTAAAAAAAAAAACTTCATGACCAACACAAAAGCAAACATCCATTCAGTCTACATTGTTCTTTCATTATAACATATAAATGCCCATTTACAAATAATACACCAAAATGAATAAAAGTTTGGATACCAAAATGAAGATTTGTTCCAACTGATATAATTCCTTCGGTATACAAAGGTCCATGTTAAAGTCTTTCCTCATGTGTTACATCGTAGGATGCTGTTGTAGTACAGAAGTATGTGGAAAGCCATTCTTCTTATAGAAATACAGATCAACCTCCAACTGATGTCCATATAGCCATTTACAAAATCAGCCCACGGTTTACTGTAACCTTGGCCAGTACTGAGACATATCAGGTTCACTGCCAGGAACTTGAACAGGAACTGACACTCCAGGAGAAATTAGACCTTGAAGAAGGGGAAAAAATGTGTTTGGGTGCATGTTTATAGATCAGTTGTTGGATAAATGATGAGAGAGAGAGAGAGAGAGAGAGAGAGAGAGAGAGAGACTCTCTCTCTCTCTCTCTCTCTCTCTCTCTCTCTCTCTCTCTCTCTCTCTCTCTCTATGACAAAGGACACTTTTGGAAATCAGTGAATAAGAACTACAACTTAAGTGTTAAGGCAGGGGTCTTCAAACTTGGCCCTTTTATGACTTGTGGACTTCAACTCTCAGAATTCCTCAGCCAGGGATGCTGGCTGAGGAATTCTGGGAGTTGAAGTCCACAGGTCATAAAAGGGCCAAGTTTGAAGACCCCTATGTTAAGGTATTGCACATTCTCCTATGCTCAGTGTGACCACTTCAAGCACTTCTATGCATGCACAGATATCTTTGTGAAAGAACAAGTGGTTTTATTTTGGCATTGAATCTTGGCAGAAGTTCTATCTGTGTATGTATATAAGTGCCCAGGTCATATATATTTCTCTCACTTCCCAACCATCCTTTCCAATGGTTTGCATAATAATAATTATAACAATATAATTATGTCCATCTATTGGTTGAAAGATATCCAACAGTACAACAGATATGCAGGATGTTACAAGGATTGGGAGAAGTAAGGTAACATAACATTGTATTCAGTACAATTCTGTAATAGATAAATATGAGCAAATTACATATCTTTTTTTTTCTTTATATTACTCCTTTAAAAAGAGGCTAATAATTGAATAAATGAAACAGAAACTTCATGTAACAAGGAATGTGAATGTTCAAAATCCACATAATGATATGCTAATATATACGGTAGCATATGAATTGTGTTTATTATTTATTTAGAATATAAGCACAGGTTAGCAGTTTAGTTTATAATAATTAGGTAATAAGTCTCCCACTAACTAATGGAACTTTGAAACTTCAGCTAAGATAGGCAAAAATGTACCTGATTATTTATCAGAACAATAAAAGGATTGGATTACAAAATTCCATTACAATGGCCTTTTGGCTAAGATCAAGCATAGCATCTGTTTCTCAACTGAGCTGAGATTTATCTTCCTGAATCCCATAATATTTATCTCCTTCTCCACTATGGAGACAAAAGTGAATTAAATCTTGCCATAAGTCTATCTTAGTAATTTATTATCACTGTACTATTATATTATATATTATTATAAACCTTGCACCTTTGTGCATCTTTTTATATTAAGATACCCTCCTCTCACCAAATCAGTAGAGAAAAACAAAACCTATCAATTATTCTACATGGTTAAAGGAGTGATGATTTATATTATCAGTGAATTTCTAACAAAATGGGGCTTTCTTTCTCATCAGATTATGTTATTCATACCCTCCAATGATATCTAATTAGACTCTTAAACACTTACTTGTTATTTCCTCTTCTTTTGTTTAAGAGTTGATAACAAGTCATCAAGTTTTGCACAAAGGAATCAAAATTCCAATTCATGGGTAAGAACTCCTATAAAGTATCTCTGATGAAGGTACCAGTGGTTGGTTGCTCACCTGTTGAAGTGGTTCCAGAAGTGCCCATTGGCTGGCTGTTCATATGTGTCTGCATATGAGGAGGGGTGTATGTATCATAGCTCCTCCCATTTACTGATGGACTTGTGGGCAACATGCAAGAATAAGAGGAAGTCTGGCTGGGTACTGGGGGCTGTGGGTAAAAAGACCAATATAATGTTCATTACTTTAAACATCATTTCATCTTTCCTTCTTTTTTTTTTAACAGATGGTGCAAATGTAATCTCCACAAACTCATGCAACATTCATATTAACTGATTGGTTCCACTATGTTGGATGAGCTTTATGTTGCAACAGGGAAGACTGGTGCCCAGTTGCATTTTCTAGCATACAGAGGTTGGCTCTGTTTGCCAACACAACTGACTCAACTTCTCCCCAGGGCAATAAACATTCCCCCATGTGCCAGCAGCCACTGACGTGCATCAATAAGGCAGTAATGTGAAGGCCATTTTTAAGTCCTCCCACTCACCATAAAGCAGGCTTAGAGTTCGTTTCCCCCCCATTAGAAAAAAATAATGGGAGGGGGAAACATTGATGGCCTAATTAGGTTCAGTGCCACTGTGGATGGAGTCAGAGGGAGGGCTTTCCCATGCTGACCCCTTTTTTCCATTCACCGCCAACCCTACCCCATTTGTGAAGGTCTCAGAGGGTGAAAAGTAGAAAGGAAACAGTGACACAATGCCTAGAAAAGCTGCATTTCGGCAAGGCGCTTCTGCAGCTTTGTGTCTGTTTCAGAGACAAAGGGTTACTTCTCTGTTAACCCTTTCAAAGCCTGTTTTCATGGAATGATTGACTGGGAGAGGGGAGATTAGTTCATCCTAAATCTTTTTAGGTTAATTTTCCAGGTTAGTTGACAAGCTTATGATGATGGCACAACCCAGCTTCTGCCCAATTAAATACATCATGGAAACAGACCGTTACAGCCTTTCATTTAAATTTTGGACACTGCTTTCCTATGAACGGATAAAGTCCACTCTACCTCTATTTTCATAAATAGAAAAATACAACTGCAAGGTTTCAGAACATTCATAAGCTAGGGAACTAACAGTGAAGGATGTCCAACTGGAATTTAGGAGAAAACCTTGATTTTTCGTGATTGTTCTAAGTGTCCATCCAGAGCATCTACTGTACTCTATATTAATAACAGCCACCTAGCTTTCCATTTGCAAGTTTTCTCTTCCTTCAGTCCAACAGGAAGGAATGTATTTCTCCCCATCCACCCCATTTAGATTAGATGTAGGAACCTGGGAAGAGGGTGACAAAAGAGGAGAAATGCCCAACGAGCTAAGAGGAGTCCGTTTGTGCAATTTTCATTTCACTCCAAAGTGCAAAAGATTTTTCATCCAAATCTCGCATGCCTCAGCCTTCCATTTAAAAATCACTGCCCTATGTAGAATAGCAACCATCTGGACAGGCATGAAAACTGTACCAGTAACACTGGCATCACTTCTCAATTGGTGCCTTTTCTTCCATATCTGCTACATTTCACTTCCTACAACTTCTAGTCAGCATGAAGCTGGAATTTATGAGAGCTGAAACTCTCTGAGCTATTTAGCAGCACCTGATTATGATAAAGACAGAACTTTAAGTGCAAAATATTTCATTTTGCAGCATAATTCTATGCATATTGCTCCTGAAGTAAATTTTAGTATTACATGGATTTAAATTGATGTTGTGTGCATGTATACAGACATACGTACGCTCACACACAGTGTGTTGTGTATATGTATATATATATACTGTATATATACAGTGTGTGTGTGTGTGTGTGTGTGTGTGTGTGTGTTCACTTGGTTATTGGCTTGATTATTACAGAGACATATATATAGCGCAATAAATTTTCCAAGTATAATCATATATAATTCCAATATATAACTTTTCCTCATTTATAGAGCTATCTTCAACAATTGGAAGTTGGAAGTTGGGTGAAATACTTAAAAGATCTCTAAGTATTTATTCCCTAAATAGTTTTTTTGTGTTCACAGACATATGTTCTAACTTCTGAGGTTTGCAAATGTTGGTTTTTTTTTAATGCTAGACTTTTTAAGGCATTCTATAAGAGAGTTGTTCAAGCTCATCCATTGAATATCCATAACTTGTTATCTTCCTAAGAGTGCAAGAATGATTCAGGGCCTAGAAATGCATTCTTTTCCTGACTAGTAATCTGCATGCTTACAAGCATGAGGGTTAGCAGCAATATTCATTTTAACACAGCTATTTAGAACTGCAGGTGCTGTTCACATCCTCTGCTTCCCCTTGGGTATTTCTAGGGTGCCAATAGCCCTGGTGTCTCATCAGCAAGGTGTAAGTCTGCTAGCATGTTAATAAGCTCTTTCTCCACAGCAGCTCTATACTAATGAGTTTTTCTAGTTAGATACATTTTTAAACAGATATTTTTCCTTTTACCCAGTTGAAATGTTTTGCCTTTTGGATTCAGAGCTTCTGGATAATTTAATCAAATCCTTTCTTCCACTTCCCAGACCACGCTGTTTGGGGTAAGAGTTGGGAAGCTCTTCTCAGGATCTGCCCACTTTCTTCTATAATATACCAGGGTTACAAGTTCTAGTGGCTGAATGTTATGACAAACTACAAATTGGAATAGACGTTGGGCTGGGTCAGAAACCAATTTGGAGAGGGGAATTCTTAAGAGGTAAAATAGTGCTTCAACCCTCTGCTATGCTTGGGACATCCTGAGTTTACTTTTTAAAAATCCCCTGAATAAAACAAAAAATTGAGTATACTTTACACTTCTGTTTCAATGATTGCTGACATGTCTATGCTACTTTGGTTTCTTCTACAATTTTGTAATCAGCTTGATATTTTAAAGAAATGTAGTTGAATGGATAGGGTAGGTACCATTCAAGCTTTTCCAGGAATCTAAATGCAGTCCCAAACCAAGTATTTAATCATGCTAGCAAAACAATCTTGCGCCTGAATTTACTGTCCTCGCTAGAGGAAAAATGGGATTACATTGAACTATTACCAAAACTGATCAGACAATTCATGGCAAGCCATTTCATTACAACAGGCATTCTATTACACCATACTATGTAGGTTCAAAGAAAGTACCAAATACTCAGACAACCCATCAGCATCACTCAAACAACAATTCCAAATGTTATCAAGGTGTCCTTAATCACAGTTGGCTTACATTCAATGGACATTTCTTTGCTAACTTTCTTTGGATCAGGACCACTGATCACAGTTCAATAAAGACAAGATATACTTATCAGTCTATACTGGACTGCATGTTTTGGACATGAGTCATGGCATAGATGCACAGCATGGAGGCCTGAGAAAAATTCTTATGGATTCTTGGAAATCAACAATGCTTAAACAAGGTTGCCTGTTTGAGATCAGAGCCTAGAAAATTTATCTTTCAAGGGTCTCATAGCCTATAGAATTGGGATTATAAAAATATGATTTCAAACTTCATTGATATTAATCTTGATTTTTGTCAGATTAAATTAATTGGGATTAATAACTGCCCATGTTGTCTACTGTGCAACACCATCACAACAGCAGTAAAATTCTAAGCACATATTTAAAAGAAGAAATATTCTAATGCTTAGAAGAAATGCAAACCCAAAGTATATATGTGATCTCAGCCAGTGTGGTGTCATGGTTAAAATGTTGCACTAGGACGGCGAAGACCCAAGTTCAAGTCCATTCTCAATCAGGGAAACTCAGTGGGTGACTCTGAGCTTTGCACAATCTCATATGCTAAACTATTTCACAAGCTTGTTTTAGTGAAGAATAACTAGACAAAGGAATGCTAAGTAAGCTGCTTCATCTCCCAAAGACAAATTGGGAGATAAATCTAATTAATGAATAAATAATCAAGAAGTGGCAGCTCTGCTGGCCATAAATAGCCCTAGAGTGATACTATGGGCACAATACAGAATTATTTGGAATGGCGAAGTCATTGCAAGCCAGAGAAATTAAAAGAAGCCTGCCATTTATTGGCAACTTGTTCAACTTAAACCATATCTGGGTTTGGAAATCCTATATTGCAGTACAACATGACCATACCTATAGCACATAAAAATAGCGAAGGGAGGTGCAATTTTGCTCTTGATCACTATTTACCAGTTCACACTTACACTTTGCTGTTCTTATTTCATTTATTTCCACAAAATGTGAGTCCCGTGCTGAGCAATGAACCTGAAACACATTATATCAACGCTAGCTGTGCCAATGTTTTGGATCAGATAATGTAGATAAATCAACCAGAAGAAGCAATCTACATCTTTGCCGGAAAGTTTTAGGTGGCAACTCAGAATTTCTGTATGAGCTCTGAGGGCCTGTAGAAACTGCTGAATTTCACCTTTCCTAGGAAAACTTCTACTCACTGACTTTAAAACACCTTGCTGAAATAAAGGCAAGGTTCCTGAAACAAGCAGTTTGTGGACTGCTGTCTTGGTCTATATGGGATCAATAAGATAGACAGACTTCAAACTTGTAAGCAATATAGTGCTTTTATCACCAAGGGCTCAGATAAAAATAGTAGGAAGGACAGTATCAAACATTTGATCCATTTAGAATTAAGGAGCAGACTGTCTTTCTGCTTTCATACTAACAATGTATAGTTCTTTCTTCCTTAAATGAAAGCATTACTCCTAGTTATCTGGGCAAACCAATTTAAGTTGTAGAATCTTTTATTGTTACCATACTTAAACTAGTGGGAAAACAGAAGCCACTGCTTATACGTATATTCACCATAAAAACTACCAGAAGATCTCAATTTACTTTCTGCCTACATGCTTAAGAATATTTTGCCCAGATTAGTGATCCATTAACAATTGGTAACTTTAGCCATCTGTCAAGATAGTTAAAACACAACAAAAAGATGTTTCAGTATACTGGTAGATAAAGTAGAGGTTCTGATCAGCATGATGAATGGTAAGCATCAAAGCATCAATTCCACTCCTCCTCTATTGTATGCGCGTGCATGTGGGTGTGTTTCTATTTGTGAGAAAAGATGTAAGTAGTAGTCCAGGCTTTCCCATTTTGTTCAATCAAACTGATAATATGCATAGGATCCCACAAATACTGGGTAGATTGCACACTTGGTGATAGCAGCATGATATGGGAAATCCTCTTAGCCCTGGAGAGATCTCCCTTATAGTCTAGAATTGTTACTAACTTCAAAGGACAGAGATTCTGCCCAGTGATTACTCAGCTCAGAGAGCATATTAGTAGATTATACTTACTTGCATAGGCAGGTTGTTAGCCATTGTGAAACTAGGCATGGGTGGCAAAGCACTGTATGTGTTTGTTAGCGCGGTGTCTGTTCTGCCCAGCATTGAACCTGATGTGAAAGAGGAAACTATAATAGAATAGATAGATAGAGAGGATGGATGTATTAGTTACACTTTGATCAGATGATGGCATTACTTTTGGCAGCGTTCCCCAACTTGGTGGCTCCCAGATGTGACAAAGTCTATCTCTCATAATTCCCAGCCAGTGCATTTGGAAGACGCCATGTTGGGTAAGGTTGCCAGACAGCGTTCCATGGTATTGCCCAGAAAGGGTGAGTAATTGCATGATATACTTCTTAAAGCATATTACCCGGTGTTGTGGGTTGTGGGATCGGCTGGTAGACACTTGTGCTAAAACTACTGCTGATGGGAATGTGACTCGGGGTGTTGCTGGCTTGTCTTCTCTGGTTTCTTAGTTTCTCTTCTCGTCTCCACTTTGCCCTCCTATTGGAAAACCATACCTGCCAATACAACATATTTCCCATTAGTTCAGAGAGGAGAAAGACAATGCATCAGACAAAGAAAAGAAAAAAAAAACCCCTCAGTAATGGCTGTAGGACTAATAGAAAACATTTGTGAAAATAAAAAGACCGTCTTCATGAAGTACTCGCTTCCGCATTTTTCATCTGTTACCATGTTCATTGGGGCAAAAAATTTAGCAAAGGCCATGCAAGATTATCCATGTGTGGTGGACTTTCCAAACAGAAAATTTAGGTACATATTTACTGCATTTGAATTAGAACATCTGTCTAGATGAATTCTAGATGAAAGTGAGCATAAATGCTACTTGCTTTAAGTAGGATGCAGATAACTTCACTGGAGTCTGCATTTATTTTATTGGTTATGTATTATGGAAAGAAAATACAGAGTACCAAATCCTTAATGCAATTAAAATCAGAAATAAAACAATTTATTAAATTATTAACAATGAAAATCACTATCCCGCCTTCTTGAACACGAATGCATGGAGAAGAAAGAGAGAAAGCATATAGTAAGGTAGCAAGAGCTGAAGAAAAATACCGTATGGTCTTTTGAATACCTGTATTCTTGCTTCAGGCAGGTCTATTTTGGCAGCTAGTCTCTCCCTGGCAAACACATCAGGATAATGGGTTCTCTCAAACTCTGGTAGAAAAGAAACCCATAGAGTTTGCATTAAAATAGGTTATTTGCTTTTAACTTTCTGAATATTCTGAGCGCCCTTGACATTCTAAATCTTTTATGACGAATATCATCGGAGGAATGCTTTGAACAACATCATATAATGCAGGTTTGATTTAAAGTGTGAGATATTATTATTGAATGATTCCTTCCCAATCAAGTGGTTCATATTAAAATGATTTATATAATTACAGATCATGTTGAGACAGAAACCAATAACAGCGCATTTTAAGCAGTTAATAAATAAACCCTAGAGTAACTTTCACGCGCTAAGTTTCAAGACAATTTCAGATGATAACTCTGTGAAAACCAGGCCTCAGATCAGGTGAGTTCCCAATCAACTACTAGTACATTGGGAGCAAGGGAACTGGACGACGATGGGCTGAGACTTGTGCCTATTTTACAATCCAAAAAAGCGGGAAGCAAAATTGCAGCTGAAAGTCTCCTGACAAAGACAGGGTGGTTTTGGGACACTATTGAACTTCCAGTTCCAAATGCTTGCTCTGCTGCTTGTATAATTGCTGCATCTCTAAGCCATCATAAAAATCACATTCCTAGACTGGACATCCATCCCAGGTCTATCCCAGATTGATCATACCATGCCAGGAGAGAAGAGGCAGAATAGTACATTATATACCCCTTGTTCTGACTTATGGTCACAAAAAACAAACCTCACCTTTCTCAAGTGCTTCGATTTGTTCTTGGGTAAAGGACGTCCGATTTCTCTGCAGCTTTCTTTTCAACTGGAGCCTCATCTGGGCCTCATCTGAATCTTCTCCATTTGAACTGATGGAATTGGTATTTTCGCCCCCTCCTTCTTGCTGTTGGCAGCCATCTGCAAAAGAAAGAGGAAACCGTTCTAAGAAAGCTTGTGCCATAGCAAACACAGCCAACCATGTCTGAGGACCTCTCCTTTTCATTATCCCAAAGTGACAATACAGTAATCCAACCACTCATTCCTGGAGAGGCATAACCTATGCTGAATAATAATACTTTTGTGGCTCAATCGGTATTTCAATTTTTTTCTTCTCTTTCACTCTCTCTGATTCTTGAAAATTGGCTGAACAAAGTCCTTGCAATTTTCTTGGCAAAGTTTTCCAGAAATGGTTTGCCATCGCCTCCTTCCTAGGACTGAGAGAAAGTGACTGGCCCAAGGTCATCCAGCTGTCTTCATGTCCAAGACAGCACTAGAATTCACAGTCTCCCGGTTTCTAGCCTAGTGCCTTAATCAGTAGACCAAACTGGCTCTCATAGTTCACAATTGGATTTAAATTTGTGTATGCACTAAATCTAAAACATATGATATGCTGCTTTTGAAGTCTATGACCTACTGAAAAGATATCTTGTGAATTTGTATATGGTCATTCTGATCCAGTTTGAATGCAGAAGGTGAAAGTATGGTACCCAACACCCAAGAATTTTCATGAGATTGACTCTAAATAGAAATGCAGAGAAAGCTTGTAGATGTCAGAACCTTCGGTGCTCATTGTAGCATGTATGGTGGTCAGAAGATGGTTAGGAGTGGAGTGACTATGGTATCAATTGCAATTATTTGTCTATTCTGAAGAATACAGAGAATTCCAGTAGGGGAAATGTTATAAGGGCAATTCAGTGACTTCTAAGCAAAAATCAATCTGGATTCCTTAAATGGAATGGTAGCAGAAGCGAGGTAGGGCTTATCTCTTTCTACAGTTCAGTGATGTTCCAAGTAGCTGGCATAAAACATTATTAAGCAGTATACAACAATGGGGAACCAAAAACATGTCCAAGTAGAAACATCCAGTTCCAAAATATCTAAACAACACTTTAAAAATACAGCTGAATAAATCTATTATTTTTGCCCCTTCTCACAACAAGTCAAAGGTATTGTTCAAATGAGTATGGTGCAAGTTTTCCAACATGCCTTCCTAAAATATTATTTCTATTAAATTTTATTTACCTACTGGTATATTTAGAATAGGGATGCTCACTTTTTGAGATTATCTATAATCAGTGATTCCTATCTAATCAATTAGATGCTGATAGGTTTGCAGAAAATGCTATTAAGAAGCCAAACCAAGCTTGTAATCTTTTTTAAAAAAATATTTATCTAGTTTTGATTTTAATTCTGCACAGTCAATTTCATTTTAAAGGTTGTGAATTTAGAAGTGCCTGCATTGTTCTGCAGTTTTATTCAACTATTGTATGAGTGTGCATTGCCTTGACACCTATTACAGAGCACAGCTGTAATTATATCATCACCAAGAACAGGCTATAATTGCTGAAAATGGAATTTTATATTTAGATAAAAGGACTGTCCATTCTTTGTAATGTGTTGCACCAGAGAAAAGTAAGATTTCTTTTAAAATTTTAACATGTAATTTTAACAAGAAATAGTAGCGAGTTCGCTAAGTAGCTAAATATGCTATTCTGCAGCTGAGCGCCTGGCATATCATTTGTGGTACATTTTTAATTAGGGCATTTCCACCACTTTTAATGTAATTTCTATCATTAAACAAGAGAAAGTTTTATTGTTTTCACATAGCTGCTGGAGGTAAAGATATGCTCCTGGTTGAGCTGTCTTTCAAAGTGTCTGCAGACCCTGAGGAAAATTGAGGGGGGG